TCATTCAACACACACGCATACCCCTGATCAGAATTAAGCAAGTAACTCAGTTCTTGAGCGGTGATCGAGCAGTAGAAAAACTCAGCCCGCTTCAGGTGATGCAACCGAACAGTTATCTCTTGGAAAGAGGCGAAGCTGGAACTGGATCTCCTCGATATTTGGCGCAGCAAACAAAAGGGGTTCGAAATCCTCTAACCCCGCGCCGATTCTGTCGCAAGGTTCGTTGCAGAGAGTAACGGTCTTGAGCTTCATCATCGAGTTGGGGGTCCAGAAGTAGGGTGTCCCTGAAAGGACATTGTTGCAGGAGAATTCTTCCAGATTTGGGCACAGGCTGCTGATCACATCGCTCGGGGCCCCGCCCAGCCCTTCTTGTTTTATTAGGTCAAGATGATAGTATTCGGTGTCAGTATTCGATGCGGTATTGCCTTCGTCGATTCGTCGAACGTAAAAATCTGAGACCTCGGGTGGGATGTCGGAGTCGTCGTAGTCGTGCTCGAGCCACAGTCTGCGGACGAGCTGAGCGAGATCTGGGCGTGTGATCAATGTGCGTGTGAGGAGCCAGTTATTTGGCTCGGGATGACGGTATAAGTGTTGGGCGGTCAGATCGTGGAGGACTTGGCAGCTTTGAGAAAGCGATACGAGAGTCTGGCTCGGAGTGGCCAGGTCGCCCCCGTCCCATGCGTAATCGGGAGAGCAAAGTGCTTCCAGGATGGTTTCGAGGATCTCGATCGGTAAGTTGGGGAGGGCTGGCATGCTGCTACTTTTAGGTTTGAAAGTGGTTCCAGGCTTGTAGCGGACGTGTGCTGTTGGGGAGTGTGATTGGAAACAAAGAATAACAACGGGATAGAGGTATTGCATGAGGTTTGCTCTTATTTACCTGAAGAACAAGAAATGATAGATTGCGACAAGGTAAAGTCAACCTTGTCAGGGCATTACCCGCTGATCCAAGCTAGGCAGTAGCGAATCTCATGGATGTGGGCAACATTGGGAAGAAGCCAACAGGCGACACTCGATCATAGGAAGTGAAAGGCGCAGTTTAACCGGAACAAACTGCTCCCGTATTTAGGGGGCCATGGAAATTGGGATGTGACAAGGAGTCAAACGCATCGATGTCCGGGCAGTAACAAACTTATGCTATTGAAGATAAGGGGGAGAAATCATTAACACCTCACAAATGTGTTTTATTTATCTGTCGGCGCTGGTCAAGGGCAACGTGGAGATGGAATTTCTCTGTGATCTCGCCCGCCTGCACCCACTTTGCATCGATATGCGCTTTGATTACAGAGGAGGCCAGCGAGAGCGTTGCCGACGAAAGTCGGAATGCGATCCATCCACCCTGGCCGTTGACACCAGGACTTTCCGGAACTTGAAGGCGGGATTTCTTTCGTGGGCGTTGCTGGGGTTCGTCGCCGTCAACTTCGGATGGTTGGGACCGGGCCAAGTCTTGCTGAGACGCTGACGCAGGCTGGACTTTTGGATGCGGCTGCCAATGTGCGGGCTTCTTGATCGTGAGGACGAAATCACCCGATGGGCAGATATCGTAGTCATACGTGGCCATGCTATGTGTGCTTGCCACGGGCAGATCGTGCTGCTTCGTCAGATTGCGGAGTGATGATCGGTGCAGTGGAAAGAGTTTTGAGGTCGGTGGTTGGGAATGGCGTTTGCCGCAACGCGTCGCAGTTGCATGGATGCAAATTAGGTCAGACATGACAAGAAAAAGCAAACAGATACTTGCAAGGATAAAACCACGCGTCGAAGCGATGACAAATTTGGCCCACACAGTGTCCGAGATGCCTGGATCTCCGACGACATGGTCTGCAACCTCAGAAACCATGACCGTAATTCGGGCCGTCGAAAGCGGAAGGAACAAACGCCAAAGGCCGAGCAAACGGTTGGTCACGTTGGGACAACGGGTGAAAGGGCCTAAGCATGACAACATGCAAAGGATCCATTGGCTTCAGTGGGTCTCCCAAGCAATTACCACTCCGTGGGAAGGGTGTCAAAAAGCGGTTGATCCCTGAGGCAGGTACGCCCCAGCTTTTGAGCCAGCTCAACCTACGGCCGGGAAGTGCGTGACTTCCCCATCCAGAACGGCCCTCAACTCCTTGCATCTCAGCTTCTTACATCGGTCACCTCATCACTGCAACCAACTCATGTCTACACGGACACCCCGCGTGTCAAGCGGAATCGGTCTGCCACACTCGGTCGTCCTCCACAAGTGCTTGCACTTCATCCACCAGACCATCTCGAACACAAAGAACCCAAGCGATACAGAAAGCCCAACCGCTGTCGCCAGAGAGCAAGGCACCATCACATCGTAATTGCTTCTGACGAACTCAAAGGCCCCAAACGCCATGTACCCCCCGGAGTAAGGGTACGCGAGCCAGGTGGTATTGCAGTAGCAGTTGTTCATTGCCCCCGTCAACTACCCTTGGTCAGCATTGTTAACCCGCCCATGGAAGGATGCAGGAAGGTAGGTACTTACCACCAGCCCGGTCAGGAAAACCAAGAACAAAATAGCGGTGACGTTGACAATGTGACATAGGACCCTCAGCCTTGGCCCGCAAGACTTCTTGAACAATGAGACGAACCAGCTGAAGCTGGCCAGCACCCCGAAGAATACGATGCTCCCAGACCAACAACCAATCCCAACCGTCGGGGACGAGAAAGCAATGGCGAATGACATAAATAGCTGCGCCCATACAAGAAACATGGCACGAAACGCCGAGGAGAACCAGAGCCAAGGCCGCCGGCCATCGAGTTTGAGAACGACCCGATAAGCGAGTTCGTCGTACCCTTTCAGACCATTGGTATCATCGATCTCCTCTGGGTTCGCCCCGCAGATCGTGATGGCATGGGCGAGTCCACAGTAGTGCATCTGTCTGCCCTGACCCACAAAGTCGCCGATCTTGAAATGAGGAGGAGTTGTCGCGGTCCACCACTCGATTTGACTCATGGGGCCTGCCCCCTGAAGTCTCCATAGCCGGACAGCTTCAACGTTGAACAACCATCGCGACATCAGTTCACGGACGCGATCCGAGGACACTGGATTGCGATCGATGATGGTGCAGATGACCAGCATCGGCAACCAACCGTACAGCAGACCAAGGGTCAATCCCGTGACGTCAACCCCTTCGCCGGTTGCGCCGAAAGCAAGATAGATGGAGAAGACGAAAGCCGCAAGAAACGTCCCGAGGCTGAGGACCATCGGCACGATTCCCCGGCGTCGCAAGAGGCGAAGATTGGAGGCCAAAACCGCCAGAAGTTGTTTGGTAAGCTCGATGTCCAAATTCCCCGGGCTGTGGTTCTCAGGCCCGTCCCTGAGCGGTCTGAAAAGACCGTAGATGAGTGCGGTGGCGAACTTGTTGTTGAGCGTGGAGTCTCGGTCATTGCCCTGCATTGGAAGCGCGAACTGGTTAAAGCAGCTGAGGACGTAGTAGGTGTCCTCGGGTATTCCATGGCGTGCCAGCCGGTGGCATTTTCGGATCTGGTCGAAGTTGAAGATGGTGGAAGCGATGGCAGTCGGCGGAGACCCAAGCCAGTTGGACACGGCGCCAAGTGTACCCCACAGTTTGTTACGGCGGAGGGAATCGTACGGGAGGCAGAACAAGATGGACAGTGGGAATATCCACGTTGTGGCGATGATCAGCGCGGCTTTCGGTCGATTCAGCTCTGTGCCGCCGCAAAGCTCAAGACAGCCTTGTGTCATTGAACCGGATTAGTACTACTGGACTGTATTGCCTGGATTGGGTCTCACCTTTGTAAGTAATCGCCGTGATGCTCTCCCTTGGAACGCCTTTATTCAAGAGCGCAATAGGTCCATCCCACCACCATCCCGTCGATGCTAACGTCTCGTTCGTGACGCCCCTGAACTCCTGGGTCCCATTTCGGATCCCAGCAAGCAGGTTCAGACAACTGTCCATCATGTACAACTCAGGAGACCAAGGTGTGAGAGAGGAAAGCCAAGGGGTAGTCAAAAGGCGAGGGAGAAAAGTTGGGAGGAGGCAGGCTTCTGTCCAGCACTGTCCAGCATGAGAAAGAGAAATGATTTGGGCATCAATATATGTCTACCGTGACCTAATTGTTGCGGAATAGGAGAAGGCAATATGCTGGTGTGGTCGGCTCAAAGGTCTCTATCGCTAGTACCCTCCATCATCCGAACCACCTGAAAAATTGCGAAACTGGCTGCCACATCCTAGATTTATTTTTCTTTTACTGAAGATACACAGGGAACGCACAGGGAACGCTGAGGCTCCAGCTCTGAAGCCATTGCAGTCAACCTCTCTAGGCTACATCTGAGGCCACGAACGAGGGGCCGCAAGGCCCGCGCCAAGTGCGCGCTTTCGGGTCGAAGGGGTGTTCATGTTTTGGGGGCTGAGGTCTTAAAGTGGACAAGGCTGTGGGTTCAGCCAGATTCCAGTGACCTGGGCTGAACTTGAGACGCGGGCTCATGTCCTCTGCTCGGACATGGGCGTGGTCATGGAAATGGCTTGGTTGTCATGGCGAGCTTTCTCGACTTTTTCGGTCGGTTTAAGCCACGGTGCGTATATCTTGGGTTTTGGCATCTGCCTGGCTGTGGCCTTTTGGCTGTGTAGGTGGGGGCGAGATGGTGTTGTGATGCAGGGGGTGTTTGAGAGCAGAGCCTTGCAGTTGCTGTGAACTAATGGACTGGAATGGAAAATTCTGGGAAAATTTTATTTGGCATTCGTGATGTTCGATGTGGCCGCGTTGACGACAAGTCAAGTTGTCGACAGAAAGTCGGTTCAGCCACCAGGGGCCGTCCTGAACCCTGTAGTGTACACCATGCAAACAAGTTAGCAACCTTAAATACACTTATCTAATCTAGAATCAAGTCGCTCTCCTTTTCCCCCACAAACCCCCTGAAAGACGAGCACGACATCTGCCGCCCGCGCCTTTCTTGCAGCCCGCCAAGACCCAAAGCTGCAGGCATCACAGGCCACAATTCCGCCCCCACAATTCATCAACCAAACAGGTTTCTAGCGCGGTTAGTTTAGTGGTTAGAATTCTCGCTTCCCAATCCCACATTGGATCAGCGAGGGACCCGAGTTCGAACCTCGGATCGCGCAACTCGCTAGTGCCTGATCGATACCTTTTTTGCATTCTTTTGCTAATGCATGTGACTAACATGATGTTCGATGGGTTTGCTTGGATGTCATTGGGGCTGTTTTATTTTGCAAATGTCATCGAAAAGGCTTGAGGAATGAGGCGGGCGTTGTGGGATGCGGGGATTTCGGTGTCGCCGGGAAAAGGGGGCAGAATGGACATGACATGGTGTTGCGCGAGGCCTTCGACAAATGGGTGTTCTCGCTGGAATGCCAAACTGGAAGACACTTCAGGGGGCGAACGTCGACTGCTGAGGTGGGGGAGATCCAGGGGCGCACTGCTCCGGCGAAGGATCGGGGCAGGAGAGCAAGCCGGACGTCACCCATGCGGAGAGTCAACACAGTTGAGGCATCAACTCATTTGCTCAAGCCAGACAAGATTGAACATCCAAATATCCATCAATGCGCCCATGTGCTTCAAAGCCGCACTCGCAAGCCTTCACCTGACAATGCCAGCAACCGTGTCTTATTCTCAGCGTGTCTCTGCTCGGCTCCCACTTCCATATCGTACAATGCAACGAATGCAAATAATGATCGGTGATCTTCTACCCAAACGCCCATCCGCATGCAGTCGCCGAGAACCAAATATGCATACGCAATCTTCCCAGAAGCTTGTCCAGCACCTTCAAGCCAGCCGGGTTCTTCCCGAAGGTCCCGCCTCTCCCGTTTCCTGTCGTTCCCATCGTTTCCAACAAACTCAATTCCCTCCTCCACATCTCTATACCATAAACGATTCCCCACACCCACATTGTTCCTCTGCGCCGACGTTAGCTTCTCTCCTCCCAACAACACCAGAACGAAAATACTCACTGATATTCGGATTCCGGAACACAAATCTCTGACTCAATTTATCCTCCACCCAATCCATCTCACTCCCAATAATGCTAAACAGCGCCTTGCTGTCAATCAGCACCCGCACCCCATCCTGCTCGACCGTCTCGTCAAAGGCCCCCGCCTTCTCGACATATTCCAAGTGATACGCCAGCCCGCTGCACCCGCGGTTGCGCACACCGACTTTGATGAGCTTCGGTTCTGGCTGGTCAAGCAGAGCCCGTACTTGGTCCACCGCGGCGGGCGTGAGCTTCATCGCGGCCTTCCGGGGCGTGCGCAGTCTGGACCTCGGCTTCGCCGCGGGCTTAGGCGCAGGCGGTGCTTGTGACGACGCAGGCTGATGGGATGCTGCGCTCGCTGGCGATGCAAAACTCTGTCGGGAGGACTGCGCGAGCTTCTCGGGTAGGGGGGCCGGCGCGGGGGTGGAGGGGTGGTTTGGTGGCGGTCGGGTCTCGTGGACGCGCGGGAGCGGCTCGGTCGGGTGTGCGATTGATGTGTCGGGGACGGAGGCGTTTCGTGGCTGCGCTGGTGGTTGCGATGGGAGGGGGTAAGACTGGAAGGCGGCGACGGCGCGGCCGGGGGTGGAGGACAATTGGCGCTGCTGCCGAAGGAGGGTTCGGCGGCAGTCGAGACACACCGAGAGTGTCCTCCGGGACAGTAGTCGAGGGGCGTTCATCGTGGTGATGCTCTGAATCGTGGTAGGTAGCGGAAAGGGGATCGCTGGTGGTGGTTCGAGGGTTGAGGGTCGAGTACGGCGGCGGGCGATTTCAGGATCGAGGCCGGGAGATGGTGCAAAAGTGCAAACATCGCCATCAATCCGAAGCGGTTGGCGAACTCGATCAGCCGAGTGATGACATGACGCCAAGCCTTCGGGTCCGCCCGGTTTCCATCGGCCAATCACGGAACAGGTATTTGGAACGCAACGGTCAGAGGGCGGCTCCACTCTTCAGGGGAACAATTGATCCTCACTCGCCAGCAACTCACTCGATGAAAGGCATTCCTTGGTCATTTGAGCGCCGCATGCCATGAAAAGTGCCCCACGAACCTCTCTATCCGTGCCAAAATAGCCAATCCTCAGCATTGAGAGCCCTGATAACATGACAAACCCGTTGACACATCCGGCATGGCCTTCGAGATTCGAGAACGGTTCAAAGCGAGTGACAACAGAACAATCTCCATTGCATGGCCTCAACATCAAGTAAACGTTCTCTTGAAAAGTGGTATTCTAACGAGGGATGCACGCCTGCTATTCCCTAAAGCCCTATACAATTCATCACGAAAAGTTATCTCAGTCATCAATGCTGCGTCGCGTTGCCGCGCGAACCATCCAGTCTCAGCCGTTGCGCCATGCCTGCTGCTTGCTTCTCGTCCAATTGCCCCTTTTCGACTCACTCTGCAACCAGCAGCTTAACGTCCCCAACCGCTGCGCGCGCCATCTTCTTGAGCAGCGTCCTCTCGTCCGCCTCCCGGTACTTTTCCCAGCTGTCGAGACCCTCCTTGGCTTGGATGCTCAACGTCTCGTATCCTTGCTTGATCACCTCAGCGACTTGGAGGCTGGTGAGCTGCGACCCGATGCGCCGCCCAGTGGCCGCTTTCCCGCCTCCAATTCCTCTCTCCGCCAGCATCTCTTTGTAGTGTGTGCTGACGTTGACCAATGTGTCGATGGAGTTGCTTGGTCGGTTTGCCAGCTTGTAAATATCCCGGAACTTGACGAGCACCTCCCCTGTTTCCACGACCTTGTAGAACAGGTCGTCGTATGCTGCTGGCGTGGGGAGGAAGGATTCTCCAGCAGACAACCCCAGCGCGATGAGGTTCACGACGTGGTCCAACAGGGTATTGATGTGCGGCGAGTCTTTGAGGTCGCTTGCATACGTCGTCAAGAACCGAATTAGTGATAATAAGGAGCGGAAGAGATCTGCCCAGTGATATTGCAGCCGTGTTCGCGATCGTGACATGTAGCTGATAATTCGTAGAAGGATGCCCACGCAGAGTGTGTACAGTCCCACATCCAAGCGTCGCCGCAAATTGTGGTTGATGGCGTCAATCATTGTGTCCATCAGGGCCGTCGCCACGACACGCTCGCCTTGGACGTGGGGGAGATATGGGGATCGCTGACGACAGAGACGAACAGCTGTTTTGCCTTCGTCGCTGCACATCCTCTTGCAGAGAACAGGGTCTTCGATAAGGAGGCGGAATACCATCAGACACAGATGGGAGTAGAGGGTTGTTCGTTGTGAGAGATGAGCATGCTGTAAAAGGTATGAACTGAGTGAGATGAAGGATGAGAATGGCTGCTCCTCCCCCTTTTCGATTGGGAGGGCGACCAGATTGTACGAAAAGAGCTTGTTTGCATGCGTAAAGTCGTATGTGCCGAGGAGAATCGCCGCCTCTTCTTTTGGACTGCGCCAGATTAGCGACGACCGGAGCTTCGGGAAATGCTACTCACAGTTCGGAGAACATCTTCTTCGCCGTCTCAGCATCGTAGACGGGCTTTGGCGGGGGTTTTCCCCCAGGAGCTATGGCACCCAACCCGATCATGCTCAGCGTGCTGGCAATGGTCCAGCCTTCTGGCATGTCGTCCTGCACAGCAATATACGGTGCCCGTAATGCCTGGCATGAGGCGCCAACACTCTGGATGATCTTCTTGATGGTGGCCTCGTTGACGAAGTCATTCAACCGGAGTTGATATGGGTTCTGGAACTCAAACTTGTTATAGTTTGCCAGCAAGCCAATAAGGGTGAACGGCTCCCTTATCCTTTCTGGCGTGTCAGCGTCTTGTATGAACTGGGATCGTCAGCATCTCCCTCTCTTCTCACCTATACCCCTTTAATCCTGCTTACCTTCATTACCGAAGGGAATAGATCCCGTTGTATAAAATATGTGAGTAGCGTTGTCTGGTATGCTCCTGATGTAACGGCGAGGGCGACTTCCACCGCCTTCTGCCGCAAGTCCACTACCACAATGTTAGCTCGGGCTCCGTTGTTCGCAGCGTGAGACAAACTCACATGTCCTCCCATTCCGTATTATCGAGTCCAGTGCTCCCACAAACTCTGTAAACACCGTGTCGACATGGTCCAGCCCGGCCAGCACCTCGATAATATCGGAGCTCGGATTCGTGTACTTCTTCGCCAGTACAGCAATAAGAAACGTGCTCAAGGTCTGCAATGCGCCAACCGCAAATCGTCAGCCCACAAGCCCAACAGCAGCCCACCCAGACGACCACCCCAAGTAGAATATATGCTCACATCCAGCGCATGCAAATCGGCGACACCCTGTGAATTCCGCAGCGCTCCGATAGCCCGCGAAAACAGCTGTCTCGTCTGGAGATCGAGGTGCACCAGCTCGCCGGGCGCTATCTGGTCGAGAATGCGCCGCAGCGCCGGTCGATCCGGCTTGAGCAGGAAGAACTCCCGCCAGAAGCCCTCGGATTTATCGCCATCGTCATCATCCTAGAACAACCCAAGACAAAAAAACAATCAGCCAATTGTTTCCACTTCCCCAGCGCTTGGTTCCATGGTTGTGCTGCGGGCGGACCCGCGCAAGCAAGCAACAAAATAAAGCAGATGCGATGCGGGAGCGACAGACAGGCGCCGAAGACGCATTGCATTGGATTGCGGGTAGGGCGGGGGAGACGCAAACCTTGAATAGCTCCTCGTAAAGTCTGACGATCTTGGGCGTGAAGACCTCCGGCCGAGGCTGGTGGGTGAGGGGGGATTGCTCCATAGGAACAGAGGGCGAAGCTCGTTTATTTCGGCATGTATCGTCGCCATCCTCTGCAGCAATCTGGCGGTTTTCGGGAAGCGCGCCCGTGCCTGGGCTGACTGCTCGGCCGCCCCCGACGGTGCGGCAACACAGTGCGAAGTCCCACCCGCGGGGGCAATCTCGGCGACCCACAGTGCTAGCATCACTGTGATCTAGATCTTGCAACGGAACCGGCACTTGGGGCGGAAATTCCACGGTAAGGCTGTTGGAACGGCACCAAACTCAACGCCGAAATCGGCTTGTCTTAGGTATTTTAAAGCGCGAAGCAGATAAGAAGGTACCATTGCCAGGATTCCCAAGGAGAAACACAACAAGTTGCATCGGCAAAGTGAGCTGTCACATTGCCTTCTCCAAACACAAACCCCCGAGAC